TTTTTGCGAGGATCTGAGTCCTCGGCAGGCCTAAGGGGCCCCTGCTGCCAATGTGCCCGCCCTAAGTGAAGGCGGGCCTAACAGATCACGAGAGGCCCTAAGCTGTCAAGTTCGTATTTGGGGTCCAGTTGGTTGAGGAAACACAGGCCGAGCAGCAAGAAAATTCCACGGCCTTCTAAGCTTTTCTTGAAGTGCAGGCCCTGGGCGAGATTTGCAGCCTCATACACAGACAGTTGGGAGGCCCAACTGAATGAGGCCCAGTAGCTGCACCAGAGGCACAGCTTCCTGGGGCCTACCGGAAGCTTCTGGCCCAGGCCCAGACCAGTCAGGCTGCGAAGGCAGGCAGACTCTTTCCATATAGGAAAGAGCTCGTGGCCTGGAGCATATTCAGGCACTCGCATGCTAGCGGGAGCGCTGCTGGAGCGGACGCTCGTGGGCTGCTGCTGGCGCTGAGAGGCGAGGTGCAAGCGCGTGCGGTCATGCAGGGAACAGGGCGCTGCTGAGGGCAGCGCCATAGCCCAGCCTCCATAGCTCGCTGAGGGCTTGGTTGTACAGTGAGGCGCAGGGTGGTCTTCAGGTGTACAAAGGGAAGACGTGGGGAGTAAGACGGGGGATAGAGAGAGAAGGATGATAATGATGATGATGTGAGGGCACATACCTGGTATTGGCGATGGTCTGCATGGGCGGCATCTTCAAGTACTTTGGAGGCTGCTGACGTCAACAGTTGCATTGTCAATTAGTAGGCTAGTAGTAGCTGTGTAGGGAGTAGGCTGGGCCCCAAGCGCCAAGTAGGGAGATAGGGACTGGTTACATATGTTGGTGGTGGTGAGGACAAGCTCTCATTGACATTGATTTTCAGTGCTACAATTCTCCATTGGTGTCATATTGGTGCAATGCTTCTTTCTGAACACTGTGATACGATCTGGCTTTCAATGTCATTGTGCAATCTGAATATTGTCATCTCGCTATTGCTCATTTTCCTTGCAATTTGGTATCGGAGCTGGTTCAAACTGCGCTCGTTGGTTCTTCGCAAATAGCTGTTCGGTGCTTCGCATGAGGTGTGGGGCAGTGATAAGGCTTGGGCGTTGGACGTAAGGCGGCCTAGGGTCGTGTGGGCGCGCCAGGAAGCTATGTGGTGACATTAGGGGTGTACGCTGGATGATGAGAGCTCGCTGATGTGGCATTTAAGCCGAGGTGGAACTGCATTCTGTAGCTGGTTGTGCCGAGGCAAAGACCGGTCATCATAAATGCACATCAGGTTGCCGGTGAGAAATCTGTGGTTGGGGGCAACATTATAAGATACGTTGCTTTCTTCCTTATCTACCCTCTTCATTGCTTCTTACTGTGAGGAAGTGAATTTTGTCTTGAGAGTCCTCTCAATGTGAGGTGTCGCAACCGCTCAACCTTGAGAGTCGACATTCTTCCTGGGCAGCAAGCTGGTGGGAGACGGGCGATGCCTCTGAAGGGCCCTGGACGAAGCACTCGGGTCACGGTCACCATGCCAACCCGCTGGGACTAGTACACACATGCTTTGTCACAAGTCCTTGGTTCTGCTGCTGCGCAATAAAGTTCATGCAGGGCATGCCAGCCCTTTGAACAGACGCTTTCCAGACCATCTTAAATATTTCTGGTGGGGACTCGGTGTTGACTCTGGCTGTGATCGTCGTCCTGTCTGCGACGTTAAATAATTCCTGAGGAGTTACGGGGGATCTCCTTAAATGCCTCCTGATCAGCCAGATTAAACCGGGTGTAAGGCTCGTTGCATGCAAGGATAAATAAAGTGCAGGGGCTGGCAGGTTTGGCGTTGACTTGGGCCACAGGGGTGGCCCGAATTGCACACCTTCAGACACGCTGCTCAATCAGATGCTCAGGGCGTTGACACGAAGTGACAACTCAAGAAGGATACAGGGAGAGGGGGGATTCCGGTAACTACTCGAGGTGGCACTAATTAGACAAGTTGCCATCCAGCATGCATCTCAACAGGTAGGTTATTTTTATTTTTGATTATTTAGTTGTTACGGACTTGTTAACAACTGACAGACAGCTGCAGATAGGTTAGTTCTTTTCCTTGCTGCATTGCAATCTGTGTAAGAGTAATCTAAAAATAGAATTGAAACTTACCTGTAGGACCTGACATTGATTGTTGGTTACTACTTGACTACTTCTCTCCAGGTTTACCGGAATTAGGTGTTTGATCATACCCGATTGTGTGTCGGGCTGAGGTAGGGTTCAGTGTGGACTCTGGTGTAGATCACACACACTGTAGCTGATGAGTGATGCAGGCGGTAGTGAGCGAGTAGTGGAACATCTTAGAGTGACTCGTAGAACTGCACTCAGTCAACTGATTACCTTCTTGGAGTTGGGCCAGGGAGAGGAAAGGCGGCTGCAAAGGGAAGCCAGGGAAAGGACGATATTGAAGAGGGCTAGGTCAGTGGCAATCAACGCTGAACGGACACTTGCAGCAGCAAGAGTAGCGGACGCTAGAGTTCAGGCTGAGGTTACGATGGCTACTTCCTCTTCAGTGTCACGGACCTTGTCCCAGGCCTCTTCGTCAGGTGTCAGTCAGGGTACCTCACAGAGTTTTGTTAGTCAATCTATTGGCTCACAAGTCAGCCAGCAGATGCCACTCACACCAGAGGATTATGAGATCCTCCAGGCAGAGGAACTTCATGATGAGTTGCAGCGGCAGTTGAGAGAGGCAGCGGAGAGGAGACAACAAGCTATTTTGAGAAAAACTAGACTAGGGAGTAGGAGACAGGAGCTAGGCAGATTAGAAGCATTAGATGAGTCAACACTTGACCCTGCGATGCGAGCGTTGCGTAACTCGCTCCTTTGCGTGGCTGAAACGCAGGTTGTTCAGCAGGAAGTGTTGGTTGACCTAGTGGCAGGCCAGAAGCAAATTTTGGCTGCACTGCAAGCTCCTCGTCCCATGATGAGGCAGCCTCAGTATGTTGTAGCTCCCCCCTTTGGGACCGGGCCCCTCAGTGACGTCATCGCCAGTAGGGCCATCCTTCTGTCCTATGTTTGGCATTCCTTCATCGAGTAGTCAACCAATGGTTAGTGGTCCGGTTCTTATAACTTTTGTCGTACCATCCACGACAGTGGTTACTACAGTCCCACTGTCAAGTCAGGCCCAGGTTAGCGTGCAGCAACCTGTTTCGGTGGCTATGCAGTCACTGCAGCAATCTCCTGG